AAGCCAAAACCTAGATATTTTAGGCAATATAGAAATCCTGGCCAGGACGTGTCCTGGGAAAATGGCACGTATGGTCACCCTATTTTAGTGTATCCATTGTTTTAGCGAAAATATATCTAAATATTCTTAAAAATTAGGCTTTGCCTAAAGCAATATTGTAAGATATTAAGAAATTATTTGTATTTTATTTATTTATTCATGTATTTATTTATTTATTATTGTCACAAACTCCATTCTGTACCTTCACTCAGGATTTCCCATAATCCTTTGCCCGGACTCATCAGCACTCATTATCGGTTCACAGCTGCCTCATATTAGTAGGACTAAGAATATCACACACACTCTGTCTTCGCTGGTGATTGAATGTTTGTATGTTTTCCTAGTTTCCTAGTTTTGCCTTGCCTTAGTGTTTTGATCGTGGACCATTTCCTTGACTCTGATTGTTTGCTACCTGCCTTTACCTTCACCTGTTCCATGGATTACTCTTTGGCCATTGCCTTGGATGTGATTTTTTGCTGATGTTTGACCCTGCCTGTTATGACCACGCTCTTCTAATAAAGCCTGCTATTGGATCCCCACTCCGTTGTCGCCTCCCTCATTACAGAATCACCAGCCATACCCGGATCCAGCAGCTTTTGAGCAGTGATCCTTAAAACTGGCTCGCGAGACCTACTTTCCTGCCGAGTTTAGCTCTACCCTAATCAAACACACCTGAGTTTGCTAATCAATGTCTTCAGGATCATTAGAAAATCAAAGGTAGGTTTGTTTGATTATAGGGTTGGAGCTAACCTCTGCAGGAAAGTGGATCTCGCAAGCCAGATTTGAGGATCACTGTTTTAGAGCATTCCTGGCCAATCATGGACACAGTGGACTAGGGCTGTCAAAATGACTGAAAAAATAAATTCAAATTTTTTACTTAAATATTGTCAATATTCGAATTATATTCTAATTTAAAAGGCATAATTTCAGTTAGGGGGGGGGGAAGCTTTTGGCTTCTCTCCTGAGGCCACAAGAAGGCGCATCGAGCAAAATATTATGCATGTTTCTTCAAAGCATAATAAAATAACACGACTATCTGCAAAAAGTGCATAATGTTTAAAATAATGTTTATATAATTAATAAAGTTGCTTAAACAATTAGAAACATAACAGCATCATGCATGTACAGTATGTATAGTTTAATGCAAAGGACCGAAAACCAATCACAAAGAGTACTTTCTTCATTTAAAAACTTGAGATGCAGTGGGATGGGGAAAACCGCCATTAAGTCTTGAGACATATTTTTTAAAAGTTGAACCTACATTAATTTTACATAGCTTTCTAACCATGCGGCTCTCTTGTGCGAGACGCGAGTGCAACGGTAATAGACAGGGTTGCCAGGTTTTCACAAGAAAACCTGCCTAATCGCTACTCAAAACTAGCCCAATGGCGTTTCGAGGGGGTCCCCAGATAAAAATCGCTTTCCAGGGGTAAAAGTTTTTTGGCGGGGATAAATATCATGTTATTGGAGTCGTTTCAACCCGCGGACATGAATAACAACCCGTGTTAAAGTAGCCCAATTCCGGTGAGAAAACCGCAGACTTGGCAACACTGGTAATAGATGTCCCTCTAGAAAATGCGATAAATATGCGTTCTGTGTGAACGGCTTGGTTTCGGTTTTGACGTAAACAACATCTTCCCACGCATTGATTGTTCTCTTTTTCTGCAATATTTTGAATAAACAACGTAGCAGCGCCGCATCTAGTGGGTAGGCTAACAAAAGCATTAAAATGCAATGACACTTACATCGTCATCGCATTTCGTGCGCCACTTATAAGGCTACCTGATGCACACCTAAAATGTGGATTTTTATTTTCAATTCGACGAATACTCAAAATTAAAAAAATTTATGACAGCCCTACAGTGGACCAGCTTCTGCACCTCCGGCAAAAGGACTTGTCTATTGAGGATTACGTTCATCAATTTTCTGAGTTGTCCTATCAAGTGCCTTTTGATGAGATCATGTTAAAGGACCTTTTCCGTTATGGACTTAATGAACCAATGAAATCATGGTTACCTGAATGGAAATGTAACTGTAGTTTAAGGGACATTATGGACTATGCTCTTTTGTTATGTGGTTCTCCTCTCACTGTGGGAGAGGCAGAGGACTTTAAAGCCCCAGAGACTTATTACAAAATGGCTACCAGCCCAGAGACTGTTAACAAGATAACCGCCAGCCCAGAGTCTCTCCACAAAATGGTTGCCAGCCTGGAGACTGTTCACAAAATGGCCACCATTCCTGAGTCTCATCCTGTCATGGCCGCCGCTCCTGAGTCTTGTCCTGTCATGGCCGCTGTTCCAGAGCCTGCTCCTGTCAAGCCTGCTTACATCTCAACTGATCTTCAAGAGCCTGAGCCACGTCAAATCACATCTGATCTCCCTGAGTCAAGTCAAGTAACAGCTGATCTCCCTGAGTCTCGTCACGTCACAGCTGATCATCCAGAGTCTTGTCACGTCACAGCTGATCGTCCAGAGTCTCGTCACGACACAGCTGCCATCCCGAGCCACGCAGACTCAGTGTTCTCAGGCGACACTGTTTCAACATTCTCAAGCCTGCCGGCCGCTACTCACTCCAGTTCCCCAGACACACCGTCGTCAGTCTCGGAGATAGACGATGTACTCTCTGTCCTAACAGTTATGGCTACGGCCATTCTGTGTGTTTGGGCCGCACACACCACCATAGTTCCCCCAGAGGTGGCAGCCTCTGCTGCAGAACCTCCCAAGGTGGTGGCACCCACTCTACTCCCAGAATCCGCACTGTTCCCCGAAATCCATTTCCAAGCCTGCTCTAGTTCCAGAATCCATTGCTGAGCCTCTTCCAGTCCCTGAGTCAGCTCCAGAGATTATTCTAGCACTTGAATCAGTCCCAGAGCCATTTCTTGTCCCTGAATCTGTTCCAGTTTCTTCTAAGGTGGCAACTTCCGTTGCAGAACTTTTCACGGCAGAAATATCCGCTCCAGCTCCTTCCGAGACAGCAGCAGCACTCTCCCCCGAGCTCTCTGTGTTCTCTGTTGCCTCTGTTTCTACCACGGACACTAGTTTTTAACTCTCCCGGTTTCCTGATGCCTCTGTTATGGCCGCAAGTGCTGTCTCTGAACTCCCTGTGTGTGTGTTGTAGCTCCTGTTGCTACTGCTGCAGAACCTCCAGAGGTGGCAGCATCCACTGCAGAACTTCAAAAGGTGGCGGGGGTGTTTGCTTCAGATCCTCTTAAGACAGGGGTGCCCACTAATGAATTGTCTTTCCTGATGAGGTCATGGAGACCGTCAGTAAATCCCCTGTCAAAACAGTCTCGGCTCTAGTAGCCAATCATGAATTCTCAGCCCTGCCTGTTACAGTCGCTAAGACTGCCTCTGAATTCACTCAGTGCCCTGCCATGGCCAATAAGGTCGATCCCAAACTCTCTGCCTGTCCTGTCATGGCTATTGAGGCCGCCTATGAACTCTGTGCCTGTCCTGTCATGGCTATGGAAGCTACCTGTGAACTCTCTGCCTGTCCTGTCACGGCTATGGAGGCCATCTGTGAACTCTCTGCCTGTCCTGTTACGGCTAAGTAGGCCGTTTCTGGACCCTCAGTCTGTCCTGTTACGGCTAAGGAGGCCGTTTCTGGACCCTCAGTCTGTCCTGTTACGGCTAAGAAGGCCGTTTCTGAACTCTCAGTCTGTCCTGTTCAGACCAAGGAGGTCTATTCTGAACTCTCTGACTGTCCAGCCATGGTCAAAAGGGCTGCCTCTGAACTCTCTGTTTACCCTGTTACGGCCAAAGATGCCGTTTCTGAACTGTCTGCCAGTTCTGGTACGGCGGCTGAGGCTGCTGTTGACCTCTCTGTGCTCTATGTTCCTGTTCTGCCTGATCCGCCTTGGCGGTATCCTGCACCATCAGCTCCACTGAAGTGGTCTTCAGCTCCATCAGCTTCACCCTGGTACTCACCTGCTCCTCCGTGGGGATCTTTGGACCCTTCTGCTCCTCCCTGGTAATCGCCTGCTCTGTCCTGGTGGTCTTCAGCTACGCCCTGGTGGTCTTCTCTACCCTGGTGGGCTCCAGCTCCGTCGACTCTGGTCTGTTCATGTTAAGGAGTGTCTGGAAGCCACTCTTGCGGGGGGGGACTATAAGAATAGCACGCACACTCTCTGTCTTCGCTGGTGATTGAATGTTTGTATATTTTCCTAGTTTCCCGTTAGTTCCTTGTTTTCCAAGTTTCCTAGTTTTGCCTTGCCTTAGTGTTTTGATTATGGACCGTTTCCTTGACTCTGATTGTTTGCTACCTGCCTTTATCTTCACTTGTTCCATGGAATACTCTTTTGCCATTGCCTTGGATGTGATTTTTTGCTGATGTTTGACCCTGCCTGTTTTGACCACGCTCTTCTAATAAAGCCTGCTATTGGATCCCCACTCCGTTGTTGCCTCCCTCCTTACAATTATGCTATATATTATTAGCAGTAGTATTTATTACTCTTATTCTTATGTTTATTTTTCTATTTAAATACATTTTTCTTGTTTGTGTGTGTGTGTGTGTGTGTGTGGGCAAAGATAAATAAAATAACAAAATATAAATGGATAAATTAAATTATTTAATTTTGCAGCGTTGCTTTACCTGCTGGTCTGCATTCTGCTCCAAAGCAGAGAAATCCTTCACGAATATCATATTTTTGAATGAACTGCAGACATTGATCCACAATTACAGATGAAAGCGATATATAGTATTTTTTTATCCGCAAATGGTAAAAGGAAAACGATTTCAGCCATGGTTTTATTTTACATAATAAAACATGAGTTTTCAGAACAAGTTGTACACACAAATATCTATCACAGTACTCTCTTGCATAAATAGTAACCCACAATATCTATGCATGCAATGAGAATAGAATGCACACAATGAGTGTCTCTAACATCTTTTTCTCTCTCCTCTCTTTCCTCCCTCCCTCTTCCTTCAACACTGCCCTTCTTCTATCTTCGCTGGAGCAGTGGATCACTTGGGCATTGAGTTCATGGGTAAGAAAAAGAAAGTGTTTTCTTATTGGCAGAGCGATGAATCATGCTTACAGCATTTATACGTGCCTTTGTGTAGCAATGGTTTTCTTTTCATTGCATGTGTTTGAATGTGAACGTTCCTGTTATTTCTTTTGACTGTGCACTGTATGTGGGCTAAAATGTTGTTTTCCCTTCTTGACTCTTCACAACAAACAACTCTTATGAAAATACCCCCAGAGTTGTCATGAATGCATTCGCATTTGTAGAGATGTAATATTTAAAGCACAAGCTTGCCTCATTCACATTTGACAGGACAAGAAGTTATCGTGCTATTTACCAAAGCGTTGTGGTGCAGGGATATGTAATTATACTAGTTTTGTATCAAATAACCACCCTGTGCAGTTTGTGGTCAGAGATTAGTAACAGAGAGCAAATTATAAATGAACATGGTTTCCTGCACCATCAGCTCCACTGAAGTGGTCTTCAGCTCCATCAGCTTCACCCTGGTACTCACCTGCTCCTCCGTGGGGATCTTTGGACCCTTCTGCTCCTCCCTGGGAATCGCCTGCTCTGTCCTGGTGGTCTTCAGCTACGCCCTCGTGGTCTTCTCTACCCTGGTGGGCTCCAGCTCCGTCGACTCTGGTCTGTTCATGTTAAGGCGTGTCTGGAAGCCACTCTTGCGGGGGGGGACTATAAGAATAGCACGCACACTCTGTCTTCGCTGGTGATTGAATGTTTGTATATTTTCCTAGTTTCCCGTTAGTTCCTTGTTTTCCAAGTTTCCTAGTTTTGCCTTGCCTTAGTGTTTTGATTATGGACCGTTTCCTTGACTCTGATTGTTTGCTACCTGCCTTTATCTTCGCTTGTTCCATGGAATACTCTTTTGCCATTGCCTTGGATGTGATTTTTTGCTGATGTTTGACCCTGCCTGTTTTGACCACGCTCTTCTAATAAAGCCTGCTATTGGATCCCCACTCCGTTGTTGCCTCCCTCCTTACAATTATGCTATATATTATTAGCAGTAGTATTTATTACTCTTATTCTTATGTTTATTTTTCTATTTAAATACATTTTTCTTGTTTGTGTGTGTGTGTGTGTGTGTGTGGGCAAAGATAGATAAAATAACAAAATATAAATGGATAAATTAAATTATTTAATTTTGCAGCGTTGCTTTACCTGCTGGTCTGCATTCTGCTCCAAAGCAGAGAAATCCTTCACGAATATCATATTTTTGAATGAACTGCAGACATTGATCCACAATTACAGATGAAAGCGATATATAGTATTTTTTTATCCGCAAATGGTAAAAGGAAAACGATTTCAGCCATGGTTTTATTTTACATAATAAAACATGAGTTTTCAGAACAAGTTGTACACACAAATATCTATCACAGTACTCTCTTGCATAAATAGTAACCCACAATATCTATGCATGCAATGAGAATAGAATGCACACAATGAGTGTCTCTAACATCTTTTTCTCTCTCCTCTCTTTCCTCCCTCCCTCTTCCTTCAACACTGCCCTTCTTCTATCTTCGCTGGAGCAGTGGATCACTTGGGCATTGAGTTCATGGGTAAGAAAAAGAAAGTGTTTTCTTATTGGCAGAGCGATGAATCATGCTTACAGCATTTATACGTGCCTTTGTGTAGCAATGGTTTTCTTTTCATTGCATGTGTTTGAATGTGAACGTTCCTGTTATTTCTTTTGACTGTGCACTGTATGTGGGCTAAAATGTTGTTTTCCCTTCTTGACTCTTCACAACAAACAACTCTTATGAAAATACCCCCAGAGTTGTCATGAATACATTCGCATTTGTAGAGATGTAATATTTAAAGCACAAGCTTGCCTCATTCACATTTGACAGGACAAGAAGTTATCGTGCTATTTACCAAAGCGTTGTGGTGCAGGGATATGTAATTATACTAGTTTTGTATCAAATAACCACCCTGTGCAGTTTGTGGTCAGAGATTAGTAACAGAGAGCAAATTATAAATGAACATGGTTGAGATCATAGGTGTCAGCTCACTGCCTTTCATTTGCTCTTAAACTACTCTTCCCTCTCCTCCAATCACTTGCCTGCATTCCACTGCAGAATTCCAATGCTCTTTGGTCTCCTTGGAAACGGCATTGAAATGTTGAGAGGACAGTGACAGGAGACAGTGAGGGTGAATTCATATTGTTGGCACAGTTTCAAAGGTACCAGTCACCATATCTGTAACATTTTTGTGGTTAATAAAATGTATTGTGCATTTGACATTGCATATGTAGGCGTATGCAATAATGAATATTTATTTTTGCACAAATACACATTTTACTGCTTGCATCAAATAATCTAATCTACTCCAGATTCTTACCCCATTATTAAGTGGCATTTTATATTACTTTAATGTGTCATCATCTTGTGCCTTAGAAAGAAAAATGTCTCTCAGTATTTTGATTATAGTGCTTGGAAGATTCCCAGAGCTGTAGATCGATGAACGAGGAAGGGTAACAGGCAGATGGATTTTGTTCACGCTGATTTCCAATTTCCATTGCTGAGGCCTGTAGCGCTCCTCTTCCAGAAGGTCCCTGATTGAGAGGAGCCAGGTCTTCACTCACTTTGATATCTGGATTTCGATTGTTTTTCCTTTTTTCTTTTTGTCCAGCCAAACTCGACAAGATAGATGCACTCACTTCTGTCAGCACACTCCTAGGCAAGCGGTCAGAGTAGCCTACCTGATTTCATCAAGTTAATGACTGAACTTCAATGAGCTCAATACACTTTTTTTCATTGTCTTTTCCCAGCAACTCACATTTCTTTTTATGATTTATTTCATGATATCTATCTATCTATCTATCTATATATATATGATCTGTCTGTCTGTCTGTCTGTCTATCGATCAAATTCTGAATTATTGAACGTCAAATGGGGCACCCTACAGCCTTGTGGACTTCATGAACTGTGTTAGCCTTGTGGACATCATGAACATGAAGTGTGTGATTTGAGACAGGGCCTAAGTGTTTTGATTCTGCAGTCTGCAAAAAAAGAACATTATGAAGGCTGAGACGTGCTTTCATGCCTTGCTGTATCTCACACAGCTGAGTGTGACAACTTGTTTAAGGCTTTAAGCATTTATTTTCTATGTGATTGTTTGATAGTTGCCATGATCGATCAAATTCTGAATTATTAAACGTCAAATGGGGCACCCTACAGCCTTGTGGACTTCATGAACTGTGTGAGCCTTGTGGACATCATGAACATGAAGTGTGTGATTTGAGACAGGGCCTAAGTGTTTTGATTCTGCAGTCTGCAAAAAAAGAACATTATGAAGGCTGAGACGTGCTTTCATGCCTTGCTGTATCTCACACAGCTGAGTGAGACAACTTGTTTAAGGCTTTAAGCATTTATTTTCTATGTGATTGTTTGATAGTTGCCATGTACGCAGTCAGAGCTCAGAATGATTCCTGTTAAGCCAGTGTCACTTCCTCTTAACGGCAACGACAAAGAGTGGACTACATTGATGAAAGAGAGTAGAGTGATTCCTGCAGGCCTTTTAAGACCACATACTGAGCTTGGCTTTCCCTTTAGTGAACATAGGAGATGACACAAGTAAAATAAAGAAAAAAGGCAAAATGTCTCACGGGGTGAAAATGGAAATTTACAAAAAATTGCTAGTTTTAGGTAGATAAAAGGATTGCTGCACACCTAGAAAGAGGTCAGAATCTGTGAGTTTATGAATACACAACCTGGCTCAGCATAGTGTTGGGCGATATGGTCATTTTTCAAATCGTCATATCACCAGTCCGTGAGATCGCCGATAGACGAATGGGCTAAAATGGGTGGGGGCAAGAGAGAGACTCCCTGTACTTGTCATAGGCTATTTCAAAACTATTTGGTGTTTTAAACCGTTCGCGCGAGAAAGAGGGAGCCTATGGAAGCACCACGAATCTAAATAATATAATTTCAAACATACTGATAAACTAACATGTTAAATACAAAAATATTTAAAACAGCTAGTTCATATATATTCGGATACAACAGTCATACATTGCTATTAGGACTATTTTGGAGTAAATTTAAATTAAACAGATACATCAGTCATACAGCGCTCCGGACCGCGCGCCCCATGGTGACGCACTGCCACAGAAACAAGCATGAGATGTGTTCTAACATGTAGCGTCTGGAACACTCCAACACACAATATATATTTTGTTAGCTAGATTTCACAAATACTTTGTAACACCCCAGGACGCCGCGTTCTAACATAACTCGGGTTCGGTTAAAATATTGCACATATATCAGGGCTCTAGACTCATTCTTCCCACTTGTCGCTCTTTTGCGACTAACTTTCTCAGTTGGTCGCAGGAGCACATAATTTGGTCGCAATGTTTTTTTGTTTTTTTTGCTACAACATTTGATTAATCAATGCATGCTAATGAACTTTTATCATAGTTTATAGTTATATGGTAACGAAAGTGCTCAACATTCAACCCGTTCTTTTTTATCAGTATTATTTGTGATTTAAATTTTGTGAAAAGGAATTCCTCTTTTCGTGCGCTTCCACTTTCACTTTCAAATTCGCGATCTTGGTGTCAGGTTTTACAATAAAAGATAATTGTCTGTTTTGCTTATATCTATGCACCTTTCACTTTTTCACTTACATAACCTTTATTAACAAAAACTAATAAGACAAGGCATGGCATAGGATACATCACATGCTGTATATACCGACTAATAAATTACAGAATGTTTAGCAAACACTGAGGAATCAAATAAATAATAATAATAAGAAAATAAATAAGAAAAGCCTCCATAGCGTGACGCGAGGTAAACTGCAAAGATAACAAACTTTTCAAAATGAAAACAAAAAGAAAAGTAAAACTAAACTGGCTGTCGCTGACAGGACTTGCATGTTTTATTCCACAAGAATACCAACATGTTCACCTTCTCTGGTTTAAGAAGTGGTCTTTTGCTTTAGTTTGTAAACCAAATCCTCCGGGAACGCACCTTCGCACTCACGCTGAAAGCGCCTCTCTTCAC